AATTTGGCAGTACGAAATAAATTTTTAAACCCAAAATCACGTGAAGTCCTATTTTCGAAAATTTTTATTGCATTTTTTTGAATGTTATTTTTGAAATTTGGCCACGTGGCGCAGAAATAGGAGGTCTTTAGACCGAGCCAACCATACGTAATTAATTTCGTAATTACGTCTTTAAAGAGGGAAAATGGTGATAATTATGTACAGTCAAACCTCGTCACAGCGGACCTCGCCGCAGCGGATTTAAATATTGGCCCCTTTTTTTATTAATTAAAAAAAATGTTTGTCATATTAATATTAATAAATTTGTTCCACAACGTTGATGGGGATGGGTCTATCTACAGAGGATTCACGTGACATGTAAATTATGAAATTTTATCCATTGAGAAAATAAATGATCAATGGATTATTTTTTAATCAAAGGTCAGTATTAAAATAAAGCAATAAAAACAAACAGTTTTATCCAAAGGTTTATGAGTAACAAACTTTCTAAAATAAATTATTTATCCGAATGTGTGCAAGTAATAAAATTTTCTAAGTTTCTAAAATAAACTAACGATTGATAGTAAAGTCAATTAGATTTAAAGCATTTAAATCATTGAAAAGAAAAATGGAAAAACTAATACAACCAAATATTACAACAAATAATTTTAATTTCCGCATGTATTCATTTATTTCTGTATTTTTAGATTTTTCCACAGTGGATTTCTTGTCATAACGTATTTTTTTTGGCTGGAAGCTGTGGAGAGTTTGACTAAAAAAAATTTTGTCGATCATGATCATCGTCATAGTGGATTTCTTGTTAATATTAATATTAATTATTAATATGGATTTTAAAAAATATCTGGTAAATCGAATTTATTATTATTATTAAAATATGAAAAATCCGTTAAATCCGTAATAATAACAATAATAATTATTGTTATTATAGAAAAATTTGGTTTTTGAAATTTTTATCCGCTAAAGCCCCCAAATGACTATAGATAGAATCAAATTTTAATATTTGACATGTGACACCATTATCCTAATTTTGTTCAAAAAAAAAAGATCAAAATGAGTGATTTAGAAAATGAAATTCTTGAACTTATTGGCGGTGAAGGAAAAACTTCAACTGAAGCTACTACCTCTACTTCTACTTCTAGTAGATCAGAAAAAAGAGTAAAAACTAAAAGAAAAAAAGTATTGTGTGTAGCAGATAGATGTGTGCATTGTTGAAAAGTCGTCCACATGCATTTTGTAATACTTATTATTATATGCATCTAGATCTCGTCGTGGTAATTATTCCGAAGAGGATGGTGATTCTAATAATAATAAATCTGAATCATTTGGACCAGATTTATATCATGATGATGTTGACAGAGAAAGGTATCTGTAGCTAGTAATTATACTATATACATCATTTTCACTAATATTTAATTGACAAATTAATAAATTATTTGTTTAGGTTAGAAAATTTACCAGAGTTAGAAAGAGAACAAATTCTTGCATCAAGAGCTGAAAAAGTATATTTATTTGATTTATGATTCATACACATCAAGATAAAAATAGTTATTTATTTAATTGATTGATTTTAGAGACAACATAATATGGATTTAAATGTTATAAAAAATTTATATGATGAAGATGATGTAATTGAAGAAGAAGCTGGTAGTTCAAAAAGAAGTATGTTTTTATATTATCAATATATATATATATATATATATATTATTCATCAAATATTTATTTACTTATTGATGGTAGGATCATCAAGAAAAAAGAAAGATTTACAAAAAGCAGATTTGGTGGAATTAAAAAGAAGACGTGCAGAAAAAGGAAAAATGAGACAAATTGTGAATATCATAGTAAATAAATAGTAATTTGAATCAATTATTATTGTTATTAAGTTGTATTTGTTTAATATTTATTTATAGGGATCTGAAAGTCCAGAACCAGGAGAACATATTTCACAGGATGACAATGATGATGATGATGATGATGATGATGATGAAAGTGAAAATGATGCTCTTTCAAGTGATGATTCAAATGATAAATCTCACAATGATGTAAATAAATAGTATAATCATAATATTTTTTCAAGGTCATTCCCATTCTCATTCTCATTCACATCAAATCATTTAGGATATTAAAATAGAAGATTTAAGGAAAATACAGATCACACGTTCTCAAGTTGCTAAATGGATGTTTACTCAATATTTTGTCAAGACTGTTATAGGAAGTTTTGTAAGGTTAAATATAGGAAATAAAGATGGAAGACAAATTTATCGCATTTGTGAAGTAATTGGTAAGCAGTATAAAACTCACAATCATTATTTTATTACAAAAAGTGTAACCTCATTTTTTATCAATGTTCACATTAACAATAATATACATGTAAATGTACTTTTATAGGAGTTGAAGAAGTATCAACACCATATTTTATTGAGAAATCTATTACTAATAAAGTTTTTCTATTAAAACATGCAGAAGCAGTAAAACAATTCAATATTCAAAATATTTCAAATAATTATTTTGATCAAGTATAGAATTAAAAAGTTTTGTCATATATAATTATATATAATTAATTATTTAATTAAACCATTCATCCATTGTTCATTTAGGGTGAATTTGATCGTTGGCGAATAACAATGAAAGTTGCCAAGTTACGAATGCCTTCTTTTGAAGATATTCAAAAGAAACAGTTACAGATAAAAGATGCAAATGAACATAATCTTACACATCAGGAAGTTGATGAAATGGTTAAAATCAAGAAAGAATTGAGGAATTCTACATTTTTGTTAGAAAAATCTGAATCATCATCACCTTTACAAAAAGAATCATCATTGTCATCAATAAAACAACAAGAAGGAAAAAATCTCAAATCAATTGATATATTTAATAAGACATTGCCAATTTTAGAAACTGGTAGAATTGCTGTTAAAAAAAGAAGTTATTTAGAGGAAATGGAGGAACAACAAAGAGAAGAGGAAAGGAGAAAAAGAAGATTAAGAGGTAGATATATATTTTATTAATTATTGATTATTTATTTATCCAATCACTAATAATAATAAATCATTCATCTAATAATTAATTTTATACATATGTATATATAATTTTTACTAATTAACTAATTATATGGCAAAAAAAAATCAAGAAAAAATACCCAGGAAAAATTTGGATTCAATATTACATGATGATACACTTAATATAAAACTTGAACCGACAGATCCTAATTATAGGTTTCAAAAAGCCATCAATAGAAAGATGAAAAAACTAGAAAAATTACTTTATAGTGCTGATATTGATATGAGACTTGTACCTGATCCTAGATATGAAATAGTTAGAGAATTTGTAGAAACAGAATATGAAAAAAAATATGAAAATTTTCGAAGAACAGCCCTACCACCTTTACCAAGTTGTGCTTATAATAATAATCATTATGATGTTGGTGAACAAATAGAATTTTGATTAATCTTTTCTATGTGCTTGTTGGTATTTTTCATAATCTATTTAATATAATATTATTATAAAAAAATTTCAGGATTGAATATTTACATAACATTTTTATCAAGGTATCACATAATTTACTTATTGAAATGAGTCAAATCCGCCCATATGTTTGTCTGGTTTTGTTGCAGTATGCCCCATATTTACATTGATTTAAACTAACTAAACCAATGATTCAATTAATTAATTGTCAGGTCAATAATATCAAAATAAAAGGAAATTTGATGAAAACGTTGATTACTTTGAAGAGAATGATTTCGATGATCATGGTGCTGTAAAATAGCAATAGTAATTTTATGGATCACGGAAAATATCTCAAACAACGGAGAAACAAACATTCCAACATTCTAAAATGTAACAGACTTTTGTTAAATTTAAACAAAGGAATTTAAATGATTTGATCACTTTGAGGATAATTTGAAAATAATTCTACAATACAAACGACATTTCATATGATCATAAAATCAGTTAGGACTTCAAAAGGTAAATCTAATTGTGATCAAATTAGCAATTCTTATGGGCATTAAGGCTCTTGTTTATATATGTATTTTGTCACAATGTTAAGGGGAAGATCATGAATATTCTCATTATCTCTATTAACCAACATCTGTCTAAATAGTTGTAAACATTATAAATTATACCAGAACATGACTAGGTCTGTGAGTCATCATTATTTGACCAAACAACAGTATAAAAGAAAAATATCATGAATATTACCAAACAAAATTAAAAGAAATAAAAAAAACTTCAAAAACATTAAATCAAAATAACTTATCAGCGGGTTACCTGGAATTTTTTTATTTTTATCAGTAAATAAAATAATTTCTTAATAAGTGAAAGTTTTGTTTTTATTAACAACATATTTTTTCACATCATCTTTAAGCGAAATTTGAATGCATATGCTTGAATTACATCTGGTTTGAATTTCTAAATCTTTATCCTAAAAAAAAAATGATTAAATTTAATATTTGATCAACTGATCAATTAATTAATAATAATTGTAACTTACATCATCATCAGGCATAATATCATCAATTAATTGAACTGTATTAGTAGTAGTTTTGTAAATAATTTGATCTTGCATAATATCATTAAGAGCCAACACTAAATTTATTGATTTTTCAATTGCTGCTCCAAGTCCATGAACTGTTACTGATGGATATCTCGTTAATTAGAAATTTATTAAGAGATTAGATTCATTTGGAATTGTTATTTTATAAATTAATAAACTTTTAATTTCTTTACCCATCTAATAATAATTTTTTTGCTCTGAATAATTGACCTTTGAAACCCGATTTACGAGAAACATAAATATCAGTTGTAATTGTCGAGGGTCTTTGTGGTGTTCGTTTTTTAATAGTAGAATTATTTTTATTATTATTATTTTTTGAAACTTTTGTTTTCTTATCTCTTCCTCCCCTCTCTAATATTTTTGTTGACTCTGGATTATTTTTCATTTTGAAATAGTAAGGATTTGCATAATTTTCAAAACGGGTTTTTTATAGTTATAGCCATTCAAAAATGGCATTTACATTTTCACTCCAAAAGCTGAAGAGATTGTTACTTTAAATGTTTTAAAAATTGGCGAGAAGATGTAAATAATTCAAGCTTCATATGGGTATTCTTTATGGAGGTTAAAGCTCAGAAGAATATCAAAACATAAAATTCAATTAAATGCAGAGTTGAGATGTATATATATATTGCTAATTGAAATTCATAATTTAAAATATTTATTATATACTTATCATTATTTAAAACATTCTTGAATGTCCAAATCACCTTGCTAGTTATGTCAATTGGTACAGAAGTCAATCCTCACATGCTCATGGAGGTGGTAGTAAGATTAGGGAACAGCATAGAAGATGTTGCATTGTTAGAGTGATAATGAATATTGATCCTGTGTGGTGTTTCCAACAGACTAGACTTGTGTGATCCTATAGAAGCATCAATGCCAAGATCACTTGTGTCAAAGTACATGATGCTATTGGGTGTACCAACCCATCATCATGCATTTCATTCAAGTGTGGCTACATTATAAAGCCTCAGTCATCCTCATTCAGCAACTGGCTCTCAGCTTCTCATTCCACTTTACCACCCTTCTCAAAAACCTATACACCTATACAGGTCACCAGTCAATATCTACTGCTTCATACTGAAAAGATCAAATGAAAGTCTCTCCTGGTCAGGGAGATTTAATAAAATAATTGATCATCCATTATATGCTTTTCCCACTTGTTAAGGTCAATTCTACACATTTATTCATATAATCTTTATAATCTTTATTTTCTTCTTTTTCTAAATTCAAATACACAATCCAACTCCTTTAAGAGTTTTGTATTGTTTAATTCTTTGGCAAGAATGTATATATTTCCTTTAATCATTTTCAGTTAGCATAATATTTTATCATATGGGAGACTTCTAACAAAAACCAGGTATAAGCAATCTCTGCAAAATATGTTACACATGTTTTTGATATTTCAAGCCTATCTTGTTATTGTACCAAGCAAGCAATGTCTAAAATTTTCGCCAGTCATAATCCTTGTAGTTGGTATAGATATATATTATGCAGAAAACTCAATTTTGGTCTGGAGGCCCTATACCTGGTTCTTGCTAGAAACTCCCATATATAAATGTAATCAGTATGTCCAAGGATTCAATACTATCATGTAACTACCAGTGTTAATGACTTAAAGGATGAAAAACAGCAAAATTAACCATAATTTTGCAGTAACTAACAAAATGATAACAGTTCTTATCTATTACTAAAAGGATTAAAAAGATAAAATAGGCTATTTTTCTATTTTCCATTCCCAATTATGTAATTATAAGCTTCTATCCCCATGTTAATATTTTCCTTCCAAATATTTCCACTTTCTATTAAGCAATTGCTCACTTTCATTCTACTTTCTCTCTTCATAAATAATTTTCTCTTTCCTTAGATGGTCTTCAATAATTTGTTTTAAAACATAAGTTGCTATTTCACATGCAATCTAAGTGACATTTCTTTTAAAAAAATTAAGTTGTCAATGCATATCTTTCTAGAAAGTGTCAATTAATTTGTTTGTTGTATGGCCCTTTTTTTATTGATATGAGTTTACATGATACTTGCTGCCCATTTAAAAAAAAACCTCATTAACTATTAACTTAAAAATTTAATGGAGATTCAGTTCTAGGGGTTCATTGCTTTTCCTCTTTTTTTGGGCTATAGTGGATAAATGCCAAAATCATCTTCTAGAACTTTATTTGACTTATTTGCTTTACTCACTGAGAAATATAGCAAAGAGGTATTAAGAATATCCATGCTAAAAACATGGAAAAGATATGATAGTAATAGAAGCCCATGAAACAATAAGTATTTTTTTGAAATGTGGCATGTGTTGTTATAAGTAATTTGTAAGTTTATATAGCGGTTTTTATCTGAAAATACCATAAAAGATTTTCTTTGGGGATGAATCGTAACCTTCTTATCACGTGAATTGTGTTTTACAAATGGTTGATAATCTTGTTTATTAATTTCTTATTTTTTTATTTTTTTGTTTTTTTGATGGAACAAGAAGGTATTGTCCCTTTATACACATTCCATATAATAACTTTTCAATATAATATATAATAAATAAATAAATATATTATTTAGTTATTTCAAAGATTATACAAGCGTTAGAAACAATTCATAATCCGAATGTATCTAATGAAATAAGAATTGAAGCACAAAAGGTTTTCCCAATATTTTAATGATTGCATAATTCATTCATTTAAACATCAACCAATAAAATAATATTTATTATATTTATCCGTCATTATAGTTTTGCAATTTTGTAAAAGATGATTTTATGGCGCCATCATATGGGCAAATATTAGCTGGAAAAAATAATCAACAACCAGATTTTGTTAGATATTTTGGTTTACAATTAATTGAAAATAGCATAAAATTTAAATGGAACGATGAGGCTTATAATGATAAAGAACGAGAAAAAATTAAAAAAGGAGTCATAGAATTAGTCAATGAGGTTTATATATAAGTTTCTACATACATAAATACATACTCTCATACTAATAATGATTTTAACAATTAGGGAATTGATAACATATTTGTTGAAAAATTGTTTATTAAAGAAAAAATAGCAAATTTATTTGCAAATATTATAAAGATTGAATTAACTGATAATTTATTTGAGATGGATAATCTTGCACAATCTTATTATTTTTCAGAAGTATTAATTTGTTGATTATTAAATTTATTAATTAATAAAGTGATTAATAATATAAAACGAATAATTAAAATTATTTGCTAAAGAAATTTTTTTTTTAAAAAAAGCCAATAAAACAGGAGTTAATGCTTATCGCTTATCGTTATTTAGCTGAAGATCTTGATATACGTGATTCATTGATAAGTTTAATTTCTAGCTTCAATACTCTAAAGAAACAATATCCTCATGGAGTTAAAAATGAAAGCAATCAACAAGGAAAACTTACAATTATGTACAGTGATACAAACAATGAAGGATGGTTAATAAGATGGACAAGATCATTAAATCAATTAATGATTAATTTCCAGAATCAAGTAAATTACTATTATTATATTAAAAATATATATGAAATAATAATTATAACATTATATATAATATATATTATAGCAAATGATTAATCCAATGGATGAAAAATTATCAATTGCAATACTTAATACAATATCAGCCTATATGGATTGGGTTATTCCAATGTAACAATTAATCTTTTAAATTTATTAATTTTCATTAATTTATTAAACTTATTAAATTTGGTTGATTTAGATCCATTTCTGAAACAAATATTATTTTAATCTTGTGTCAATTTTTGATGATAGACTCCAATGAAATAAGATTGGTGACTATATACCTAATAAATAATAGACAATAATAGCAATAATAATAGTATACATAATATACTAATTAATCAATATACAAATTGTATCATTTTGATAGGCTGCAATTGAGTGTTTGTTGGTGATTGTATCTAGAAACTTTCAAAATCCAGAAGATCGAGCAATTGTTCTTGAGCCATTGCTTGATGGAAATCTGATCGAATTATTATTTTCCTCATATAGAAGGCTACAACCAATTCTTTTAGATGAGAAAGAATACGATTATACAAAAAAATTTGTTGAAGTCAGCTTCTAATCCTTTGATAATTACAACAATAATATTATATATTTGTTTGCTGATATTTTAATATTATATATATCCACACACATTATAGACTTTGGTAGTTTTGGGTGATAAGCATATTTGTTTCAAGAACAATGGAACATTACCTAAACAATTTCAAAGGTAAAATCAATTCACATTGTTTTTATTAATATTAATATTAATATTAATATTAATATTATATATTTATGTATTAGATATTTAGAATTATTGTATGAAATTTCAAAACATTCATCAAATTTTATTGCTTCATTAACAATGATCTTTTGGAACTCAGCATTACGACATCCATTTATCTCTAAAGTGAGAAATGCTTTACAATTTTATTTTGATTAAAATATAACAGCTAAAATATAACTTTATTTATTTATTATGTTTTAGACTTTCAATGAACAAGAATCCTTATTATTAATGTTATTGGAATTATTTTCAAATAGAGCACTACTTGTAAGATTACAGATTTTTAGATCAATTGATTAATTTATAATTTTTTTATTATTAGTAATATATATATATTAATGTTTAAATTTATTTAGCTTATGCAACCATATGATGTTAATAATGAAATAGTCTATTATAATGAATTGGAATTTGACACAATTAAGGAATATCATAACTTTGCACAACCAATTCGTACAAAATGTATTGAAGCAATAAAATTAGTAGTTCAAATAATACCAATCCAATCATTCAATTGGATGTTTAATCGAATTCAACCATTTTTCAATATTAATCCTAATCAAAATGATTTAGATGGTAAATGATTAATATTGTTAATAGTAATAATAATATATAACACTTTACACTTCACTATAGTATTATTTATTTATTTTAATAGAAAGTGGGGTGTGTAAGATGGATTCTTTGCTTTATATAAAATTTGATTTAGAAATGACAATAATGGAATCAGTCCTTTCTTGTATTGGAACTTTTGTTAAAAAAGACCGTGATAAAAATAATGATGATACTGTATGTATAATTTGTATTATAATTGTTGTTTTTTCCCTCCCACCTATATCTGCTGTTGATACATATTTATTTATTTATAAGGAATTATTACGTGACCAAATAGTTAATGAAATGAGAAATTTACTTAAAATTTTGCTTGACATTGAAAATTTGGTATGTTATAAATACTATTTAATGATATATTGATGCTTGAGATTAATATATACATTATATTAATATTTATATTATATTAATATTTATAGGATTTACTATTGATGCATCGATACCTAAACTCATTTACATCATTTGTGGATATGTTGAGCATTGATACTACCTTATTGTTACCACTTTTACAAAAAGTAAAAAAAAATTTTTTAAATCTAAAATTTAATATTACATTATCTAACCATATATACTTTTTTTTTGATAGATTTTTAAATATATAATTTTTTGTCCTGAAGGGTTTCATTTATCAGCAAAAACATCCATGCCTTCAGCCATTTCACGGTTAAGATCTGGAGCAATGACTACTTTGATTAAACTTGGTGCTACTATTCCTGATATTTTAATGGTAAGGTTAAAATCTTTTAATTTTTATTATATTGTTATTTTTACAATAACTATAAACAAAGTAACTCTTTTTTATTAGAATTTATATGGTGAAATATCTTATTATATAAACAATATAATAGCTGCAGATAAAAAATTGGTGACTGGAAGAGAAAATGGTTTATTAAAAGAATTTTTGCTTTCAATATGGTATGTATATTTTACATACATGTACATGTACACATATATAAATGAATAGATCATTGATTATTTAATTAAATTATTTATTAGTTACTTTTCAAAGATTTCATTACAACAAAAACAAGTGATTTTTGATTCAATTGTTGAAAGTACAATAAGTGAAATTCATTCAAAAAAAATTAAAAGCTTTTTATCAAATATATCAGAATTTTGTGAAGCTTCTGGGCTTGTACTGCTTTCTTCTGTTGGTAAGATTCACAATATCATATTACTATATATAATTATATAATTTATAATTGAAGTTTTTCAATTTAGTTAATGATATGAAATTGAAGGGAATGTTTAGTTTTAATTCAATCTTGGAGGAGGGATTCTTTGAAAGCTTTGAAGATTGTAGAGTGAGAACAACTAAAGTAATTTGGATTTAAAAAAAATTTTTTTAAAAGAAACAATATATTCATTTACTAATGTATAAATTTATATATAATAATCATATAATACTATAAAAAATTCTTTATTGATATTTTTATAATAGTTAACATGGTTAATTAATAGTATTTTGACATGGTTACGATGTATTATAGATCCAATTTCCAAGGCAATGTGTTAATATTAAAAACAAGTCTATATTGTTATATTATTATAGTAGTGTATTAATGTTTATTATTGATTAATAGACAGGAAATGATTCAATCAAAATCATTCCAGAACTAAATCTATGGGAAAAATATATTCCCATAATAGCAACATCAATTTTATCATTAATTAGGTATAATTTATTAATTTTCAGATATTTTTATATTAATATTTTATATATTTATATTATAATTATTTATTATAGAAATATTCATTACCTTTGGAATACTGAATTATGGGAAAATATTCCAGCCGAATTACAAAGGATTTTAGTGCCAAGTGATGAAGAAAAAGCATCATATTTAGGATTTCAACAAAAGTCCAATCCAACTAATGATGATCATTCTAAACAATATACCATTGTAGGAATGATTGAACGATTACATAAATGGCTTTATAATATAAGGATAGACTGGTAAGAATTATATATTACAAATATTAATGTTAATTTATAATTTAACTTAAAATAATATTTTTCTGTTTATTTATTATCTTCCATCCAAGCTATCGCATTCTTGGTTGTTTAACCTTTTTTGAACCATTTTATTCTATTCCCAATATTCATGAATTAATTGCAACTTCATTATTTGAAAATGCAAAATATGTTAATAATATTCATTGGAAATCGTTACTTAATATCCTTATCATTATTATTATTATTATTATTATTACTATACATATTTTTTAATAAATAAAAATATCTTAACTTAGATTATATATTTTATATACCTATAGTAATTAAGCCTTATGTCATGAATTGTCAAACACCTGAAATACTCTCGAATGTATTACCACAATTAATAAAACACTTGGATCAAAAGTTGGTTAATGAATGGAGTATTTTGATCGAAAAAGGAATACAAATTTCACCGCAAGAAGAAACGTTTGCTATTATTTTATTATTGGAATTGATTATTAACTATTAATTATATATTTATTATAATGTGCTTATTTATCATTATTATAACAATAATTTATTTAATTAAAGGATCAAACTTTTTGGTGATGTCTTGAAAATGAGTAATGAATTTGAGGAGATATTAAATGAAAAATTGTTAAGAGATTTAACAAGGGCTTTTATTGATTTTTTTGAATCAATCCTCATTGAAAAATCAAAAAAAAATCCGAATGGTATTATAATTATTGTTGTTGTTGTTGTTGTTGTTGTTAATCCTTCATTACAAATTTTTTATTTTATTATTAGATGGTAATAGTAAAAATTTAAAGGATTATATGCTGAATTATATGGTATTCATTCATTCATTTATTCATTTGGTGCCTTTTTCTCTCAATAATAATAATTACTAACAATATTATAATCAATATTATTATTATAACTTCAGCCTGTCACAGAACCATTTTTAGTCAGTTTATGTCATCTTATAACTTTTGAAGATATGATAAGTTGTTCAAGAGCTGTTCAATTATATAATAAAATGATAAAAAGTTTAATTCAAAATGAATCATTAAGAAATTTTGTTGGTAGAGAATTATTGATATCAGCATTACAGGTAAGATAGTATAGCAACACTAGTATTAATAATACCAATATTAAAAACAAAGATCTTTAATAAATTTGTCTATAATTAATAGGCGTTAAATGATGGGCACCAAAAGGAGAACCATTCATTGATAATAGCATTAATTACAGAAATTTATTTATCGTTAAGACCAATCTCTTCTGTGCCATATGAAACATTTGGTCAAATATTAAATTTAGATCATGTTAAATTACAAGTAATTAAAATATTGAAAATGTTTTATTTTAATCAATAGTCTATTGTTAATATTATTTATTTTAACTATTAGGATTTTGAAGCATCACTTGTACAAGGAATCGATTTAAAAGAGCAAAGAAATACGGTAAAAAAATTTCTGGGAGGTTTTACAGGAGTAAGAAGTCAATTTAATTTAATTTAAATTTAATTTACTATTATTAAATTCTCACCAAATAATTTAAATTTAAATTTTTATTAATAATTTAGTTGGCTAAAAATGACTTGTTTAAAGAAGTCACAATGACAGTCAAAAGTTCTTCATCATCTCATAGAACAATCATTGGCGATTATATAAAACCAAAATTAAATGTTCTAGATATAATTGATGATTCAAATGAGACAACAACAGGATTGAAAGAGTTATTTGATTAGTTGTAATTAAAAATTCAATAATAAATATGATGACCGTTTTCTTGGTACATACCCCTTCGTGTCATGTGTGATTGATTATAGATAATCAAATCACTTTAGCCAGTAAATTTTATTTTGATGGCACATTATATAAAAATAATTTCGTATTGTTCTGCTCCCTAACACCCTATACCAGCCCAGCCCATGCACATTTATTGGTTGGTTATGGTTTAGAGGCGCATTCACGTCAAATGACGCCATACACATTGAAATGCGCCAAATGCATGGGTACACCGTTTAAATTTTCTTGAATTTTTTAGTAGGACAATTTCTCGGATAATAACAATTCAAAGTGATTTTATTTGGTATAGATTGGTAAAATTATCCCAAATTTTTAGAATATGATGCAGCTATTGGTACTAAAAAGACAACAATCTCCAAACTTGGGAACAAAAATTTTTAATACAGTATATACATCAATTATAAGAAGAAAGGCAGGTCATTATTGGCCCAAAAATTTTCGGGTCTTTTTTTTTTTCAAGTAGAAATGGGGGTTTTTTTTGAATTCTTAAAATCTATAAAAGGCATAATTATTTTAAAATTAAATCGATTGTGGGGTAAACAAGCAGTGTAACGTAGATAATTGGTCTTTGTTGTAAAAGTTGTTTTGTAAACCATAAATGGAATCAATTCATATTGAAAATCATACATCTGTTTTTAAAAAAGCCTCAAGGCTCAAATTTTTTAGCGACTGGTTATAAAAAAATGTGTCTTTTTTATATTATTAAAAAAAGCCTTTATTCAGAGCAATATTTAATATTTGCTTCTTTGGGTATTTTTTAATAATCCATTCTTTGAGTTTATTGACATGTTCGTTTTTTCCTTTCTTTATTTTTCTTCACTGTTAGTTCTATGATTGATTTTGAAGTTTTAGGATATATGCCTTTTGGCTCCACACAGCTCCTGTAAAAGATGCCCTAGTACTAATTATCATTAATTAGCTTTCTAATATTGTTTATTTTCAAGAGCCAAACTCAAATCTCGGCTTACCAAATAGAACCCCAGAAACAATTAGTTGAAAAAAAAAACAAAGCTCAAATTCAAAATAACAACAGCAAGCAAAAAGAAGAAAATGCACTCAATTTTATTTTGATTCAATTACCGCCATTTATCATGCTATTACTTTACTATTTGTTGAACAAAGTGAACTAAGCAACTAAGCAAAGAAATTTCAAAATATTAGGGTACTCTGTATAACCAGTCACTAAAATTTGCACCCTGAAACCTTTTGTATGCCACATATAATATGTTACATTGTGCATTATACATTGTAGATTACATTATACATTGCATTAATAACATTTCATTATACAAAAATACTACTATGATATAAATAGATAGATACTTGCACAAGAAACTGTGCACAAAATAACAAAATTCGTCATTATTATTTTTAATTGTTGTATAGATAAAATGACAATATAAAATTATTTAATACACGAGCACACAATCAATTATATTGTTAAATGGTTTGTTTGTTAATTCTACCAATTCTACGAAAATTTTCCATAAAAAATTAAAAAAATTGTTAATTCAAATTTTAATTTCTTTGTTGCCCAAATTTATATTTTAGTTTTTTGGTTGTTTGACATTTTTATTTACATTGTTTTTTTTTGATCAGCGCATTTTTTGATTTTTTGAATGAGATAATGATTAATGTTAATTAATATAAAGAATATAAAAATAATAATAATTCTTAATCAGGTTTTTTTTAAAAATTGATCATATGCACAAAATTTATATATAAAAAAATAAATATATAGAGAATTGAAGTTTCCAATATTTTTTGTTTTTTTTAAATTTTTTCTTCAATGGATTAGTCTTTAATATATATATATATAATAATAATCGATTAATAAATAATAATAATAATAATAATAATATAAATGTACAATATTCAATTATTCAATTAAATCTTAACATTATTTATTATTATCATTATTATTATTTATTAATAGTTATCTATCTATCACACTTCTAAATTATCAAGGTAGATTATATTTATATAATAATAATATTATATTGTTATCCTTTGTAAACTAAATTCGATTAAATTTTAAAAAATCATTTAAAAAATAATTTCGTTGCATTTTTTTTTTTTTTTCGAAAAATTTTATTATGACAAAAAAAATTTATATATTTTTTTTCAAAAAAATTTTTTTTTAATTAACAGTTAGGTGGAATTTCTTCGATTTTAATCAATCAATCAATCAATATTCACTCGCGTCAGCCAGCCAAGTTTTCTTGATTTGATAGTTTATTTCACCTTTAACTACGATTATTCATTCTTTAGAATCATCATTTTTTCCTTTCTATAGAAGAACAAACTTGTCATTGGTTGACCAGTGACTTCTTATAAATATAGCTATTAAAATACACTTTCTTTTAGATTTATTTTTCTTTCTCCCTACGTACACGTATTTATTATATTACCAAAAATTTCAACCTAGCTTTATAGATTAAAAAAAAATAATTTAAAAATAACATGTCGCATACAAGTGACGTGACTTTTTTAGGTGAGTTTTCAAACTTTTAGATTTAACGATTTAGTAATTTTTTTAATTTAATATTTAATATTTTTTTCTATATTTAAATAAAAGCTCGCGCGGTTTTTACAGTATGGACTTTTATTTGGTTCTTACAGCATGTCTGGAATATCGATCGTTTCAAAGCATTAAAATGGCGACGCATAAAAAAATTCGAATTGGTAAGATTTATTATTATTATTATTATTATTATTTTCTGTAGATATTTTTATTGATCACATGACTTAACGTGATTATTAATGAAATATAGAAATCAGCAATCACAATATTATTATTATTGATGTTGCCATTACAAGCATTTTATGATATTTCAACTTCTGTAATAAAATACAGAGAAGGCTTTTTCTTGAATCCGTTGAATGGCGAAATTGTTTCCAAACCTCATACATTTTGGAGTGAGGAAAATAAAGCATTAATGTTACCCACGGATTATATTCTTTGTGCAAGTTTCAGTGTTCAAACGTAAGTAATTATTCCTTAATTCTTTTTCACAGTAAGAAAAAAAAACAATTTTAATTAATTTTAATTTTTTAAAAAAATAGATGTTTATTATTTTTGCTTCAATCATTTTGGAATTATCTTGCTAACAATCTTGCAAAGACTACATTCATGGGAAGCTTCGGTATGTTTACACGAATAAATATTATTTTTTCGATTCTTCTTGTTTCTCTTCAAATCTTACTCATATTTTTCTTTTATTTATTATTTATTACATTATTAGAATTTAAATCATATATTGTCTATTCAATCTTTAGCATCTCGATATTTCCAATCTTACAATATGTATTTCGTGAAAGCGATTTATTGACCGAAGTAGTTCCTCAATTAACCTATTCGATATTCATGATCCTTATTTGTATACTGGGTATAAGATCACACTGGCGTTTCAGTAAATTATTGAGAGTCACTAAAAATTCTAGTACTGCACGAACCAGCATCGTTTCTAAGCTAACCTATTTTAGAGATATGAATCGTTATTTAACATTAGCTCTTTTCATTGGCTCTATTTCATTGGCTACATTAAGTATTGATGGTCTCACATCTGCGAAATGGTTGAATAGTCATAAATTATCATCCGATCTCTTAATATGTCATTTAAATTTCTCAATTTGGATAGTTTTTGTCACTTTAATCTTAATTTTTTATCCTTCTACAAGCACAACTAATGATCAAATTCAATCAACAACAAAAGCTTCAACTTCTGCCACTGCCTCCTCTTCCTCTTCTTCTTCAAATAAAATATTAATGAAAAATGAAAAATCGTTAAACCCCTCAAAATGGATTCCAAAATCATATACAGCCTCCGAAGAAGATTGTGTTAAATTAAAACATTCGCCAAGTCCCTGGTCATCACAACAATCACGTTCAGCTAACGATGTTGTCAATAGTAGCTACTATATAGATATAAAAGATGATTCAACGGTTGTCAATATCAACGGTAGTGGCAATAATAGTCATAACAATAGTAATAGTAATTATTATATCCATGACAACACTGATATTAATATTAGTAGTAAGCAGTTGAAGAAATGCATTAAACAAATAAGATCAGATTCATTAGACGTTATTTCCCCACCACCAATAACTCCTCCGTCACCTTACAGACCTTATACAGCTAATGAGCCGCTGACGACTTTTAAGTCATCACCATCAGCATCACCTACTTCGCCATCATCACCTTTATTACCACCACCTGTTGCAATACCAACGACTGCTAACACTACTCAATTTAACTTTTACAATTCTAACTCGACAAGTAAAACTAATAAAAATGTCGAAATTTTAAAATATCCTTCTTCTCCTCTAACTAAATCAACTTTTGATATCAATAATAATCATAATAATAATAATAATGAAAAATCTTTTTCAAATGGTGGCAGTATACAAATCCCTCAAAAAGTTTCAACCTTAAAATTACTTTCTCCTCCACCTTTTTATAATAATAATGTTATTAGTAATAGTAGTAGTAATGAAAAATTTTCTGTTCCAACAACAAACATCACGCTATCTCCAGCACCAATGGCACCAAAGAAATCACCAAGAAGACCATCAATTAAAACTAAAACAAATGATAATAATTATATCGCTGAAATAAATGTTAAAGATGATGGTGTTAATAATAATAATAATAATAATAATAATAATAATAATAATAACAACAACAACAACAACGATAATTCTTCAAAAATAATAACAACAACAAGGAAACTTACCATCAAATTTCAGGATGATTTAAAATCAAAACTTCATCATAATCTTACTATTAACACTACTAACATTAATAACACCAATAAAAATAATATTAATAATGGTAATGGCAACAGCAATGATTTTAATCAAAATACAACATCATCAAAAATTGGCGCTACAAAAATTGTTTCTAAAAAACAAAAAACTAAAGTACTTTCAAAACTAATAACTACCGCTACTACAAAGACTTTATCAAGGTCCACGCCAATTGAAGTTCCATCATCATCTAAATCATCATATTCTTCTTCACCATCATCATCATCACCATCACCATCACCAATAATTAAATCATCCTCTAAATCATCATCACCTTCATCATCACCTTCGCCATCATCATCGCCATCGCCAACAATTAAATCATCCTTTAAATCATCATCATCATCTAAATCAAAAAAACCACCATCATCTTCAAAATCACAACAAAAAATAAGTAATGTTAGCAAACCTTACCAACAATCTCCACTTAATCCGAAAAGATCGGATAAACCAGAATCATTAAAAACATCTCTTCCCCCTATCACTATAAGAGCTAGGTCGGGTAGTTCATCAAATGTTATAGAATCAAATAACGTACGGAAAAGTGCAATAAATAGAAATCGATCAAATAGCACAAATACTTTGAATAATAGTAATAGTACTCTGATCGGCGGTGGTACGAGCAGGATATCCGGAAGTGCAAGTAGCACTAAAGGTAATACAAGTAGTAGAGGTGGTGATGGTGTTAAAGGAATAAATACATTTGGAAGAAGTAGATCAAGCAGTAACAGTAGTGCCAGTTCATCAGGAAGTTCAGGCAATGAGAGCAGCAGTAGCAGTAGCAGTAGCAGTAGCAGCAGTTTTGGTGGTAGTGGGAACAATGATGGTAAAATCAGAAAAGGTATATTAAAAAAGAAGGTGATTAAGCCAACAAGAGATACAGTTCTTGGTATAATATAAAAACAATGGTTTTAAAAATTTAAAAGACGATTTTATTTAGATTAATATTCTAAATCTTTTTCTTTTTTGTGATAAATAAATATTCTTGTAGATAATGTATTATTATTTAATTAATAAATATAAATTTGTAAATTATTTTCCTCTTAATACTTTTCCGCCAAGTAAAATGTTTTTTATTATATTGATTATTCCAATTCTATATTATCTATATATATCATTGCCTTTTTATTTGCTTTTTTTATAATAGATGATTTTTCTGCAATTTCTTATTATTATTATTATTAAATATTTGATTTAATGATCAAAATCTTAAAAGTTTTATAACCACAGAAAACATTAAAAATGTTTTTAACTCGTCTATAACGTAACAATGCGACAAAAATTATAAGATGATAATAGCGATGTTGGTGATAATGACGATGACGATGGTTGTGATGGTGATAATGGTAGTCACGGCATTAATAATAGCAGCAGCCATTAACAACGGTGGTGGTGGTGCTATCGCAAGTGCTGCTTCCCTCATATGCACTAGTACCTACATCAATAACACCCACAGGAAGGATTAATCAATGGAGTTTGAAGGCGTTGGTTGATGAAAAGACATATAATGGAGTTACTAAATAATAACTTTTTTCTAGGTGGCGCTTCTCGTTAAAAAGTTAAAGTACAGTTGAATTTTGCCAACGCTACATTCAGCGAATTCATTTCTTTGTTGTAGTGTAGTTATATATGTCGGATAATATCCAACGAGTATCCGATTATTCAGGAATTTTTTATCTTGCCGACGATATTATACCAAGGAAAATAAAGTTACGGCGAATTTTAAAACAGGCCATTTGTCTACTATTACTATTGAAATTCAAAAGACAAACTGGCGCGTTTATTTGACTGTAGAACAACTTTTACTTAGCATGGTAGGTATGCAATATTTATTTATGTAGCGCTAAAAAACAACGCGTCATGTTCGAGCAGTAAGCATAAATAACTTAGTACGTATGCGAGGCTTGTTTTTTTAAATATATTAATAGGCAAAATTATACGGATATCCGTATTAGTATACTACCCAATTATCCGGCCAATTGTCCTAACCCTTTACCTGTAAATTATTATTCCTCCCCCACCATGCTTTACCGTTGGTGCCGGATTTTTAATATTAAAACGCGTCCCCTTTTCACGCCGAATTCATATTGGCTTATCATTGCCAAATAGTGTAAAGCGGATTTCGTCACTCCATATGACACTTCTCCCTATCTTATGGACCAGCTTCGTCGATTAATACACCATTCGAGTTTATTTTGGCTCTGGATTTCGTAGAGATGTGGTTTTAATGTTGCATTTCATGAGTTTAAACCAATTTCATGTAAACTTTGATAAATTGTTGTAACTGAAACATTTAAACCGGTGATTTCATTTACAGATTTTTTTATATCACTAGCAGCAACTCTATTATTGTTAGCAATAATTTCCTTCGAAGCGTTTTTTTCATTGTCACCAAGTGCTTTGGGTCTGTTTACTTATTGATGCTTCAGATTTTCCATAAACTTGAATAGTTCTTTCCACAGTTGCAACTGGAAAACCAAGAGTCTCGCTGGTTTCTTCTCCGGTATGTTTATCTTTGAAAAGACTGATGATTTGGAATTTTTGAGGTGCAGTGAGTTTGCGATTTTAGAAAAAATTGATCAAATTGATCAACAAGCAAGTGTATATTATTTAACTGACCCGGGCGGGCCAACCCTGATTAACACTTAACATCACAACAGAAAGAACAATTAATGTTAATTCATTCCATGATTTTATTCTTCCTAACAGATAGGCAAAAATTCCCAAGCAAGACGATTGTCGTGCTTAAGTTTTGGAAGTTGTCCTTCTTCCTTTAATAGATCTTCATTTTATAAATCTAACAAAAGAATTTTTTTTAGTCCACAAAAATTTTCATTTCGCAACTAATGCACTACAATAATAAATACTTTGATTATGGCTCCAACATGACTTTCATTTGGAAATGGAAATTTAGCAAAACTTTTTTCATCTCACTATTACCCATCCTGTCATCACTACCCATCTTTTCATCATCACTATTATTCAAATTAGGGTTTACTGTAGATTCTAAAATTTCTATTACTTTATAAAATAATTATAATTATAATTATAGTTGGTAATATTTCTATTATTATAAAAATGTCAGCTATTATATATTTAATTGCTTTAAAAAAAACTAACCTTCTAAGCTTGTGTCAATATTTCCTTTGTGTAAACTCTGATTTTTATAATTATAAAAATATTAAACATTCAATTATAAATATTCACATTATTATAATTAAATTAACCCAAGTTGATTCTCCTGGCACAGAAACACAATAATCCAAATGTCTATTTTCAAATAAATTTGATGAATTATTAATAATATCTGCATTGTGAAATTCACTATCAATATCCTCATCATCATCCTATATTAATAAATAAATTGTTATCAAATAAAAATTCTAGAGTAATGGTAATATATAATTATATCAAGAATGATAAAATAGTGGTTTTCATACTTGTTCCTACTGAATATTTGCAGATAAATCAAAAAAAAGAATACGATCATGTATATAACTATTTATATTTATATCATCTTTTGCATTTTCTCACGTCCCTACATATTATTTTTTGCCTTGTTACCATTTTTCATATCCAGAACTATGATTTTGTGTCATGGTATGAAAACGTACTAAAGAACATTGTGGAATTTTTTCTAAATGTGTATTATTCAATGAAGATATCTTTATATACACATATTTCTTTCGTAAATAAAGATTCACGTACTTAACTTGTTTATAATTTTCCTTTGAGGTAAATTTATTTTCAAAATATTTTTGTAATTATTACTTTCAATTACAAGACCAAGATCACACAAAAACAGTGAGTTAATATATCATATATGTTCCTTGTGTCAAATACAGGCTTACCAAGGAAATGTTTAACAACATTTGATGGTTTAGGAATGTACTCTTTTGTCTTTTGTAGTGAACATCTCTATTTGCATTTTATAAAGATTTTCAAAACGCGTAATCAAATCACCTATGATAAGGTAATCGAAATCGAAACAATCGATTTTTATATTGCGAGTAGCTTTTTGATCAATCTTGATTGTTTTATGAGTTTGAGTTGACTTTTTAGCTACATTCTGATTAATTGCAAGCCTTTATATTTAATTAACGAATTTATTTAACAACCATCCCGCATACTATCTCTTCCTTGTACCTAGAAAGCTTCAGCGAATCTCTAAGCATACTTTACGGTACAAATAGATAAAAAATAAATAATAACTGATAAAAATACGAATATAAAACGAAAGAGGTTAGGTCACATGTCTGGAACACGATTGGGTGGCACCTCGATAAATGCGTCTTATTTATCATAATTTAAAAAAAAATTTTTAATTTTTAATTATTATTCTTCGTCAGTTCTTTCAGAAAGACTTTTTTCTGGTGCAGAGGGACAACAGATTGTTTTGTTACGAAACAGATGAAACAAAAAATTTGTTATTATTTTTTTACTACCCATTAAAGAAGGAATAAAAATTTACCGATCACTTTAATTGATATTACTTGAATGATAAATTTTTATAAATGTTATAGTATTTATTAGTTATAATTATAATTGTAATTATTGATAAAAGCTAGTAGTAAATTGATTGCTTTGGGATCTTCAAAGATTCAAGCACAAATGAATATATGTTGGCATTTGAATATCCCCCAAATGGAGGTTACATAACTATTTATCAAAAAGGTTCAAGGATAAGTTTAAATTTTAAATTAAATTTTTTCTTTTTATAAATAATTAATTTATACATTTTATATAAATTCATTTATGGAAGATTTAACAATTAGTAAATAAAAATGAAAAGTCAAATGAGATCTTTGGAGTAATTCCATATCTGACACCTGAAGTGTTATCAAGTAGGAATATACAAATGAATCAGATATTCGTATAGTCTTGGATGATTATGTAGGAATTCACCACATGTGATCATGGGAGCAAGACCTAAAATCATCAAAGACACTCCTGAATTCTATTTTGATTTGATGAAAAAATGTTGGGATTTAAATCTAAAAAACAGAAAAAAAAAATGAAAATCATTGAATCAGCAGAATAAACATAAAGAGCTCATTAAATCAGAAAAATATCTTTCATAGGAAAAGCATTCGTTTAGATGCATTTTGTATAAGTCATCAGTTAGTGAATTAATTGAGCAGGATACTTCAGGTCAACAACAATCTGCTAAATCAGCAAATTGCAATGTTGGCAATTTAACTGGTTGAAATCTTTTTTTAACTTTTGAACTGTTAATTGGTTAAATAACTGGTTAATCAAGCCTTGGAAGAAGCTTTATTACCAATTTTTGATTCTCATCAAAATACTAAATTATTTATAAGGATGGAAATTTACCAAAGTTCATTCATTCTTATTGGTACTGCTTCTATTCATGAAACTGAAAAATTGTCAGATCCTTTACTTTCTCACTTAGATTGAATTAATGCAGACACCACTCAACCAAAAAATTTTTCTTGGATAATGTTATTAATGATTTTTGGTGCCTTCCACTTTAATCAATTTTGGTTTTGTTGATTTTGCTGCTGGTTACAAAAAAATGTAAGCATGGAATTAAATGAAAATGTAATCGTAAATAAATTTTTGCAAAGTTGATTTGCTAATTAGTAAAAAATGATCAACAATCCTGTCCAATCAAATTCATTAATTCAAAATTTGCTATCATTTTTTATGCGCACAAATTTTGTTGGTAAGAACATTTTTAATCAAAAAATTAATAACAGTAATAACGACACAATAATAATAACGACACAATAATAATAACAACAACGATAAGAAATGCAAGTTCTAGAACAAACAACAGAATCACCGTCTTTTGATTTTTCCTTTGAAGAAAAACAAGGCGATTTGTTTAAGGATGCTCCTTCAACAGATTCATTGGTTCATTGTGTATCTCAAGATTTACGAATGGGTAAAGGTATCGCGACGATGTTTAAGAATCTTTATAGTGGAATAGGTGAATTAAAATCTCAAAATAAGAAAGTTGGCCAAGTTGCTTATCTTTTACGTGAAAATCGTTACATTTATTATATGATTACAAAAATGTATTATTATAACAAGCCAAGAAAACAAGATTTTGAAGCTAGTTTAAAAGAATTGAAAAGTTTATGTGAAAATCAAGGTGTTACTGGTTTAAGTATGCCTAGAATAGGTGCAGGTTTAGATAAATTGGATTTGGATTATGTTATAGAAACTGTTAAAGAAATCTTTAAAGATAGTAATATTAAAATTACAATGTTTTATTTGTAAATAATTGTATATTCAGTGATATAATAAATAATAAAATATTTTATTTTATTTTAATCTTAATTAATCATCTCATATTCAAATATCCAATGTTTACGATTATAATTTTCCATTAACTCAATGTTTTGACCATTTATTTTTGCCATCTAATGATCCCACCCTTTAAAACCAAACTTTCTGACTTGTTTTAACGCTATCCCTTTTGAATAAATTCTAGCACATTTTGGTCAACAAGCTTGAGATAGTGCACAAGTACAAACTAATCATGAAACTATTTATAGTTGATTGATTTAAATTTTGAAAAGGAAAAAACTAAACTTTTTGATTAATTTAATTAATTATCAAGTTAATTATAATCAGAAATCAGATATTCTAAACTGTCATTTATTTTATTAGAAGACTTGTTTACACTATTTGGTAATATTATCACCCCAATATAGATTAAAATCAAAGCTTATAAAAATCACTATATAATCTTGATCTCTAACATCAATAGCCAAATAATCTTTTTCTCAATAAATATTCTTCAATTCATTAGGTTCGATGAATTTGATACTACCAGAAAAAGTAAATGCTTTCTTTATATTTGATATAAAACTTTGAATCTCATATTTTATCCAAGTTTCCCAATTAAATTATAAATATTACATAAACTGGAGATAGACAATCTTTATAAGCCTTCAACATATATGAAGCATTGTCACATAAACAATATGAAATGTTAAATGATGTAACAATGGTGATGACTAGTTGAGATATAGTATTTACTGTCCCATAATTTTTTTTAAGATTAAACTATTTGATGCCAGATTCACAGAAATCCAGTGGTGGTGATTAAATAAACTATTAACATTAATAAATAATTTATAGATCCATTTTCAAAACTTCAATTTCTCTATGGGCATGATACTACTAAAAAGATTATCCAAGCAAACAATCTAGAAAGAATAAAAAAGAATATGCACTTCAAGGGATGTTTGTTTCTGGCCAAATTTGATATTTTATCTGGTGTGAATCATGCAAAATGCCATGTTGTGTTTTTAGTAAAAATATATTGACTAAAAGGAGCAAAAGGATTTGGAAATTCATTTGAACGATGTGATTATAAAAATCACTTTTGGAAACCCATTCTCTCTATGATACTGTATTTGTTAAAGTAGATTTAACATGTGGATTATACATAAAGTCGAAATGGTCAAATTTATTATCATTCAACAGGCTGAACATACAGAAAAATTAATCAAAAGCTTCAAATTGTCATAACTCAGTTGACATCTGGCTGTTTTGGATAAAATAATTACTATCCAAATTCTCTTAATGAGACATAATTCATAAAATTTGAATCATTGATTATTGAGCTTTTTGATTTACCCAATATCTTACAATAACTTGTCATTTAAATGACATTAACAATAGAAATGAAATGTATTTCCATGAAATATATTTTTGGTGCTAGGTGGGAAATAGCAAGCATATGTTTTGCGCATTTCTTTGATCAATGCAATAGTCTATTTATTAAATTTTAAATAAATGAATTTAGCTGTTTGTTGTATTTTTTTTATTATATAAAGAATAATAAAATTCTCTTTCCATCCATCTGGAAAATTCATGTGACAAAAGATCCGAAACTTATATATTCAATTCGTCATATTTTTGTGTAACACGTCAATTTTAGTAGCATAATAAATTTGGTAAACTTGTGCAACCGTTGAAGCTCAAATCCATGACATATCAATGAGATGAAATTGTAACTTTGTAGAGGAAGGTCTTGTCTTGGCTTCAAAAAACACGATTTATTTTGGGGTGTTGCATTTCCATTTTTTGGAGGATTTTAAGGATCTACACGACCAATAAAAAGTTGCGGGACTAAGTGACTTGTAAAAAAATTTTAAGTTCATACGTACGATACGTGTACGAAATCCTAACCATGATCAAGTTTATATATGTATATTAATATATAAAACTTTTTAAGGATTTACTCAAATTTGCTCAAAACATTGGGGTGTGCAACGTTTTAAGAAAATCAAAATTAATTAATGTCATATATTGATTTGGCTATAATAGTATAAAAAAATTTTCTAAATTTATTGATTATTACATAAATAAATAAATTAAATTAAGAAATTTTTTAGAATAATTAATTTACAAAAATTCTTTCGGGCGTCCACCAATCCCGCCAGCTTTATCATAAACAACACCAGCAACTTTATAAGCTAATTCGTCACATTCTTCTTTAGTAGCAGCTTCAGCATAAACTCGCACTACATCTTCTGTCCCTGATGGTCTAAATTTTAAAAGAAAATTATTGTTACCATCATTTTTTTTTTTAATTAATAAATATTGATTTGATAAACAATAATACCTAACAAATGAGCGTCCTTGATTATATTGAGAAACAAGTTGATCAATCAAATTTTGTAAACCGTCTGGTTCAACAAGTTTACGTTCCGAATCAGTTGTTTTAAATATATTACGATCAGAAACCTAAATAAACCATTATTATAAATTATTTGAATTTGTTAAATAATTTATTTTAAAACATGTAATCATACCACAACTTTAATCAATCGATTAGGTAAATCAGTGTATGCTTGATCCCACTGTTTTAAAGACCATTGACGATTAGTCAGAATAGCTTCAACCAATAATAAATCGGATAATGCATCACCAACAGTTTGATTAATTAAATCTGTAAGGGCCTTTAATTTTTCAATTGCTTCGTTTTGTTCTGCAGTTTCTCTAAATTTAAAAAATGATTTAATTAAATCTTATGGTCGTTCATTAATTGCCAATAAATAATCTAATGCTAAAAATACCCTTTAGAAGATTTAATAATATTCATTGCTTTAGAACTAAACAATACTGTTCCATGACCATTAGCTTCAAAATAAACACCACAATCATATTTTTCAGCTTCATGATGTAAATATTTTACACCCGTTGGTACGCATGAAACTGGAACTTTCTAATTAAAAAATTAAGTTGGCGGGTTAAAATAAATGATAAACGAATATTTATTATACATAAAAGTAATACATGCCAACTCTTCCTTTAAGTATACAGTGGAGTTACCATTCGCATATGCAGTCTGGACTACTCCAACATTAATCCCTTGAAGTCCTGCAGTTTTTACAAGTTCCATAATAAAACCTGCAGCCAAACCTGCAATTTTATCACCGTCCAGTAATCGAAAAGTATTATCTAGTAATTAATTGTATTATTATCATCATCATTATTAAGAATAATTTTAAAATTCCTTAAAGATTATGTTAATATATATACCTTCATCAATATAATAAAACACTATACGATCTGCATCACCATCCAGTGACGCAGCACGTTGACCACTTACAAGATCAAATCCTAAAGGAACCCTTTGTCCAGATTTCACAAAATCGGCCCCGCACTTAATTGGGTAAAGTGGATGGTAGAAGAATGAAGGTAAAATACTTTTGTTAATCCATTATGAAAATCCCAGATGTGCAATTATTTTTATTCTATTTATATTTTATTTACCTGATAATTTAATTTTCCTTTTGTTTCAACATCATCATTTTTTATTGAAACGTTTAAAATATCAGCACCAATGTATTTTTCAAGATCTCGAAGCTTTGGTCCTCCAACACCATTTGCTGAATCTACATAAATGGTAGAGGGACGTGGTTTATCTTTCTAAGATAACAATAATGAAATGGTAATTAAGAAATAAACCCTTCAAACGTTATTAATTGAAAATTGAAATGTTGACAGATCAATTAAAACGTTAACTTACAACAATTTTACGAAAAGCATTGGCTAGTTTTTTACAATAACCATCTTCGTTTGGTTCACCATATTCATTATCTGTTCCCAATGTGTTCAAGCAACGTGTTACATAATGAAGTTGTGGCGTAGTTTTAATCCCAAAATCAACGATCTCTGCACCAATTGCCTTCAAACCATCTTCAAGAGCTGCCACTAATGCCAAACCACTTGGTCTAAACAATAAGTAAATTTTTAATTTTGTGAAGCAATTTCATAAATATTTTATAAATAAATAAATATATGTTAACCTTGTATCTCTTGCATATACGACACTTGCTTTTTTTGAATCATCGATCTGATTTTTTTCAATTATTTCTTTGATCGCATTAACCAAATCATCTTCGTTTTGAGCATTGGCTAATTTAGTAGCATAACTTTCCCATGATTGTTCCAACATTTCACCATAAGGGTCAACAAGTTTAACACCATTATCCTTTTTAAAATAAATTTAATGTTTTTTTAAAGATGAAATTAATTAATATACAACTTAGTTATATATGTCATACTTGTTCAGGGTTATGAGAAGCAGTAATCATAATGCCGATAGTTTTTGAATCAAGTTTTTTTGAACGTAAAGCTGCTAAAATTCCCACACGAAAAACAGTTGAATCGAGTAATTCAGCTCTTTAATATGTAAAAAAAAAATAATTACACGATAATCTTAATATTTTATTTATAACGATGATAATAATTAAAAGGAAAACTAAAAGTCATAATAAACATTTTTACTTCATTCGAAAACCTGCTGTTCCATAAGTGTAATTTATATTCTGAGGTTTAGGATGATTAATGGACGCTTCCTTGATTTTGTTATAATCGATAGGATTTGACGACATATTTATTATTGTTGTTGTTAATATTTAATAATAATAAGAAAATTATTAAAGCTATTTTTTTTTTAGTGCATGCATGATCATCAAAATTTTACGATTCATTTTTGCCAAACATAAATAATCCAAAGTACACAATTTATATTACATGGGTTTGATCACCAATAACTTCCTAAAAAAGTCTAATTTAAAAAATTATAATGTGGGCAAAACGACAATTAAAGTGACGAAATTTGCAAAATGCCACCATATACCTATCTAACGTGATTGATATTACAGTCCTGTGATTTTAGGAGTGACATACAGAAAAAATATCCATTATCGAATAATAAAAAGTATTATAATTAGTACACTAATATACGATATTAATATTAATATTAATACATACTAATGCTAATACAGTCAAACCTCCTTTCAACGAATCGGTAACCATGCTTGCGTTATCCTTTTTTTTGTTTAGAGTTTTTAGAAGCGATAATCATTCACCGATTTTTTTTTTTTGAATTCTCTTTTGGAAAAAAAACCTCTTTTTAGGAATCAGAAGTTTTACAAATTTCAACCATTGTAAAGCAATAGTATCACTAAAGCTCTGAATGAATCAATGAAATTCGAACCGACTAGATTCAATTTGATTTGAACTGATTTGAGTATATAATTTGATTCCATGGTACTGATGATCGATACACGTTTTTTAATGGATGATGATGATTGTTGTCGAGACATTTTTAAAGGTTTTTTAATCGTGTAAAAATTTAATAAAAGAAAATTTCATTTTTGATTGCTTGGAATTCGGTGATTTATTAAACAATTTTATTATTGTATTAGTACTCACTATTACTTATATGAACAAATGGTAATTTTGAATAATATTTGGCCTGATAAATAAAAATTCATTAATACCAAAAGAGGTCCATTATAAAATGTATTATTATTATGAATCCTACTTAATTCTTCATCTAATAAATGATTATGATTGATTAAATATACAAAATAATTGATGAAATAATCTTTTTATTTTCAGATGTTTCGTTCTAAAGATTCAGTAGGCCAAATGACTCTAGGTCAGTCCACTATAAGATTTTTGAAAATAGTAATTATTAATAAAACTATAATAATAATAGATATCAACTTTACCTCACGGTTGATCGATGGATACTAATATCAATATATTAATACTAATACCAATACAAGAAATATCCGCGACCGTACAAAAAATTTATTTAACTAAATAAAAAAATCAACAAAAGAAAAAATTAATGTATAAATAAATTCTTTTAAATTAAAATTAAAATTATTTAATATAAATTATTTAGTTATTGTCCTACTTCATAATAGACGAATTAATATTATATTAATACAGTCGTACCTGTCTATTTGAATAAGATAGCCTGGTCCCATATTAGGACCTATGAACTGTTTGCATAACGTGAACGTGCAAAAACAGTTCTGATTCTATTATATCCCACAAACGTATATATATGTAAATTAATTTTTATTTTATAAATTATTTTCAAAAAAATAATCTAGAGTACTTTGTTCCAAGGAATCATTATAAATTTTTCATTGTATTTTTTACACTAGTTAATTTTTTAATCTCATCTGGACAGTCTTTATGTTGCTGCAACAAGCAAGTCATAACTTTTTCTAAAGCTTCTAATCCTTCCTTAATAGGAATAGCAGGTAACTCACTTTCTTCATCACTATCTTCTTCCTCATTCTGATTTTCATCATTGTTTTCCTCCTGAACTAAACAAATAATTGATGCATCATCTAAAGGCTCTTCTGTTTCACTTTCTTCAACAGGGTTTAAAAAATTTTCTGTTGTAATAGGATTTCTATATCTATAAAATAATAATAGCATTAACATCAAGAATAATAAAAAACCATATTTTAAATACTTGCCTTAAGGCCACAACACCCCTCTCTACGACAGCAACTAATTCATTCTCACTTTCTTGCTCTATTTCTTCTTCATTACTAAAATCAATAATACCTGTATGTCTCCAACAATTAACAATGGTATTGACTGTAACACCATTTGTCCAAGCAAACTTAATGAATTTTATAGCCTCTAAAACATTAAGTTTAGAGGTATCATGTGGATTGTCCTCAACCTTTTTAAGAAGATAATGAACAAATTTATGAAGATAATGTTTTTTGAAAGAGGCAATGATTCCAGCATCACAAGGTTGAAGCCTTGATGTGCAATTAGGTGGTAAGAACTTAACCTGTGTATTTTGCAATTCCCTTCCTCTAACTATATGACAGGGTGCATTGTCAAGTAGCAATAACACTCTTCTACCATTCATTCTTTCATCAAATTGTTTTAACCATCTACAGTTAAAGCATTTTATAAATAGTAATTCATAAAGCAAACTATCAATTGTGAATATATACTACTTACTCTTGAAACAAAACTGCTGTCATGCATGTTTTGCCATTTGCTCTATAGACAACTCCAAGACTATTCATATTGATTTTTCCTATACATTGGGGTTTTAAGGATTTTCCAATAATAAGTGGTTCTAGTTTATCAGTTCCATCAGCATTACAGCAAAGTACAACAGTCAAATGTTGTTTATCCTTTTTTTTACCCTCAAGTTGTTTGGTTGCTAAAGTTTTATCAGGTTCAAGTCTATGGTCATTAAATTTCATTAGAATTTATTAATATTTTAAGTATGTATAGTTTAATATTATACTTGCCAAAAGAACAATCCAGTTTCATCCATGTTATATACATCTTCAGATTTAAAGGTGCTGATGACTGTTTTCAGATTGGGAAGGGCATTTTCAATTGCACTAATATCAGCCGAACCACTTTCTCCATGTAATTGATATCTTTTCAAATTGTTTCTACAAGTGTGATAATTTGTTATTGATAAGGTTAATAATCTTAGTTCAATATAATACAGAAACATACCTATTCTTAAAGCTTTGAAACCACCCAGTGGAAAATGACAATGTATCATCAGGTATATTAAGCATTTTTGCAAATGTTTTAGCTTTTTCAATTAAAATTAGATCTGTTAAATGAATGTGACCTTGTGAATGCAAACACCATTCTTGGAGTGCATGTTCAAGTTCAGGCTACTTCACACTACAGTCTACTCTCTCTATAACGACCCTCTCTATAACGACCACTAAGTAAAATTTCTCTATAACGAACTTCCCTTTTGTCCCCGTTTCAATTTTTTATAATTAATTTCTCTCTCTATAACGACCATCTTAATAAACTCTCTCTATAACGACCAAAAGCAGAGAAATTACATATAGGGACAGAGGGTTCGTTATAGAGAGAGTGAACTGTACACGGTTTTTTTTGCTGTGGGTTTGCTTCATTGTTTAAATACTCAGATGAACGTTTTAATGTTCAAGAGATAGTTGCTTGATCAACCTTTGCACCAGGTTCTTGTTCACACCAAGCAGTTAATTCTTTTTGAGTGATTGTTGGAACATTTTGCTTTTTTAAACAAATTTGATGGTTTAAAGTAACCTTTTTCATTGTTAGTAATGTGATGATGACAATATCTATGTGAATAAATTTAACACTTTATAATTATAAAAATTATTCTAAATGTCAATATCACGAATGATTGTGACGCGTGTTCATTTATAATTTATTCCACGTGACTTTACATTAGATAAACACGTGATAACGTGAATATGCATATTCTGTCTATTTATGGCAAGCCAAAATGGACAAAAGGTCGTTTGAATTAAACGCTAGAAATTTTCGATGCAGCGTTAAAAAAACGGTACACTCCGTTTTTTTTAATGCTACACTACGTTTCTTAAAAAATGCTACACATCATTTCTTAAAAAATGCTACACATCATTTCTTAAAAATGCTACACGTCGTTTCTTAAAAATGCTACACGTCGTTTCTTAAAAATGCTACACGTCGTTTCTTTAAAATGCTACACGTCGTTTCTTAAAAATGCTACACACGTTTTTTATGCTATTACTTAACATCATTTTTATCACATCATATAAATATCAATGCTTTCTCCTTTTTAGATTTTTTTCATATTTGTTGTTATATTTTGTGTACATCATACATATCTTATCTTATATACATAATTAATCATCTAAAAATAAAATATACTCAAAATTTTTTATTAACATCAATATTAAAATATTTAATATTTTCGGATCAATAATAATTAAAATTAAAATAAGCCAATTTAATTTTGAACTAATATTCTTGGACTAAATGGAAACATATGGAGGTTGTCACCAAATATGCGATAATGGGACACCTTGTAGATGTCAACGGTATTGCAAGAAACTTGAAAATCCGCCAACTAATCAGGATTATCTTTGTCGTGCATGTGGTCACGATCAAGGTTACCACAGTAATAATGTTCAACCAATTACAAATGATTTAAACGATTTAAATGATAGTAATAGCCATCCAAATTATTCCGAGTCAACAAGAAATACTTTAAATAATATTTTTAGACCAACCAATAGATTTACACCAGCACCTAGATTTAGTCCAGTTGAATCATTTTCTAGATACATTCCAAATAAAAATAAAAGAAAGAAAAAAAATACATATGACTATGAAAACAACAATAACAACAATAATGAATTAGACTTATTATTTACATTCCTGATGTCATTACAAATAATGGGGTTGTCCTTCCAAAATCCAATCATAAGATGTAAATTTCGAATTATTAAAAATATTATCTTTTATATATGTTGTGCATGGAAATGAATTGGAATTTAAATTCACAAATATATTAGCCAATTATATTGATAATTAAATTTATTTATTGTAGCTACTCGCAACTGGTATCTCAAGGTTTGGTGAAGGAGGTTAGATTTAATGAAATGAGTTCTTATTCTGTTTGCACAAAAATAGAAAGAGAATTTCCAATTTTGAAAGATAGACCATGGACAGTATGTCGTCCAGGTTCAAGTATTATGCTTTATCCAGCAGAAAAAAATCAAGAAGAAGGTTATTCTTTAGCAGTGATAAATAGGTATGATATATTTGATTTGCTTTATTATTATTTTTTTTTTTACAATTTCTAATTTATTTTTTATCATATGAAATGGTTTTATGACATAAAGAATTGCTGGACCACAAAAAAAATTATACATTGCACCCAAAGAATCAAGATTGGACTTAAATAGCCTCACTTCAAATCAATTATTTGAGCCAAATCTAAATTTCAATTTGCCATCTTTATGTTTTGATACATTAACAACAACACCTTCATCAACAACATCAACAACAACACCTCCACCAACATTCACATTCACACCTTCATTAACACCATCAATTTCTTTGCTTCCTGTGATTCCTACAAATACATCATCTACAACTACATCTTCATCATTAAATACTATCTCATCATCAATTGACAGGGTTCCAAGTCAATTTCCTTCAAATTTCTCAAATAATGATAGTCTACCTCAAGAAAACCCAATTAACTTGCTAGCAGATAATCCAACAAGTGATTATTGTTCTATCATTTCAACCATAAATAAAATAAAAATTGCTTTGCTCTCAAAGCATAAAATCCATTTCAGCAAAAAAACTAATATTTATATTAGTGATTCAGACAACATCATGGATGAGCTATACAATTGGGTTTCTAATGCTAAAATTGAAGAGTTGTTAGCAATACCAGTAATTTGTTTGGTAAATGAAAGGTAAATAAATAGCCTTGCAAAAAATCATCAATGATTAAAATATCTCATTTCAAAGAATAATCATTATATTCCTAATTTTTCCTCATTAAATCTAGTGCAATAGATAGTGGGGGTGTCTTTCAAGATATGATTCAATCTTTTTGGAATTCGTTTTTCCTATCAAAGCAGTTTGAAAAGTTATTAAATTCTGGCAATATTTTTGAAGAATTTGAAGAAAACAAATATTTTTTGATTGCACCTAACACTACTTTGTTAAATGTTTATCAAAGCTATAAAATTATTGGAAAATGCCTCTTTTGGACTTTGATAAATAATGGGCCATGGCCACATTTTCTTCATCCTCTTCACATCCACTATGCTTTCAAATTACCAATCAAATACTCAGAAGTTATTTTGGAATCATCATTTACTGTGAACAAACTGATAAATGAACTTTCATCTATCAATGAATTAGATTATCAACAATCAAAGAGAAATTCTGAAAGATTAGTTGAATGGGCATTGCAAAGAAATATTGCAGTAAGTATAATATTAATTGAAATATACAAAACGAAAAACGCCATATAATGATGCCTGGGAATGAAGATGAATCAGTTAAAAAAAT